GTGTGTGTATGTATGTATGTATATGTATATATATATATATATATATATATATATATATATATATATATATATATATATATATATATAACAAAAAAAAATGTAAGTATGTATGCACACACACACACACACACACACACACACACACACACACACACACACACACACACACACACACACACACACACACACACACACACACACACACACACACACACACTCAAACACACATACACACACACATATATACATATATATGTGTATATATATGTATATGCATATATATATACACATATATATATCTGTATATATATGTGCATATATATATATATATATATATATATATATATATATATATATATAAATATATATATATATATATATATATATATATATATATAAATATATATATATATATATATATATATAAATATATATATATATATATATATATATATATATATATATATATATATATATATATATATATATATATATATATATATATATACAGGTAGAGGGATACATATACATATATATATATATATATATATATATATATATATATATATATATATATATATATATATATATATATATATATATATGCATTTATATATACATACAATTCCTTTCTTATGTATCTGTCTTTCTATACACATGCACATTCGGGAACACAATGGTCGAAGTGCAGTGGTTTAACTCCTGGGCCATCGCGAAAGTCTCGTGTGTGCGTATGTATATATATATATAATATATATATATATATATATATATATATATGTATATATATATGTATATATATATATATGTGTGTGTGTGTGTGTGTGTGTGTGTGTGTGTGTGTGTGTGTGTGTGTGTGTGTGTGTGTGTGTGTGTGTGTATGTATGTGTGTGTGTGTGTGTGTGTGTGTGTGTGTGTGTGTATGTGTGTGTGTATGTGTGTGTGTGTGTATGTATATATATCTATATATATATACACACACACACACGCACACACACACACACACACACATATATATATATATATATATGTGTGTGTGTGTGTGTTTGTGTGTGTGTGTGTGTGTGTGTGTGTGTGTGTGTGTGTGTGTGTGTGTGTGTGTGTGTGTGTGTGTGTGTGTGTGTGTGTGTGTGTGTATGTGTGTGTGTGCGCGCGCGCGCGCGAGAAAGAGAGAGAGAGAGAGAGAGAGAGAGAGAGAGAGAGAGAGAGAGAGAGAGAGAGAGAGAGAGAGAGAGAGAGAGAGAGAGAGAGAGAGAGAGAGAGAGAGATAGAGACAGAGAGAGACTGAGAGAGAGGGGGAGGGGGTACAATATGCCGGGTATACACTTACAACCACATGGGGTACCTTTTCTGTAAATCCTCGGCAAACCGCGGTTGACAATCGAATTTTCTCTCACAAAAAAATCGCAAGAGTTTATCATCCCATGTCAACTCCTGCGGCTATTAGACGGACCACAAGCACGATATCTTCGACCCATTTTTTTTCTTCAGACAGAGTGCAAAATTTACAATAAGCATCCACGTGGTCGTCCTTGTCCTTTGACGTGAATTCGAACGTGACCGCCAACCCCCGCCGTACTTTCGTTAACTCTCAGATTCCCAATTTGTATTCCACATGTCATTCATTTTTCCCCACTACATAGCGACGAACCATAAACACTACTACATTTTGCTTTGGTACAGTAAAATAATTTTGTTCGTCTTAAATCAGTTAATATCGCATTGCTGGGAGAGATATAGACGAGTATATAGCTACAAGCCTGCAGTTGTATTGTACAGTGTTTTCTTCTGTTGCCAAAAGCGCGGGGATTTTGAAGGGGAGACTACGAATTTATGTGGCTGTGGGGGGGAAAAAGGTTTAAATATGGATTGATGAGCAATATATTACTTAAATGGACACCTCAACATATAGCTGCTAAAATTTGCATTACAAATTTTCATTACAAAAATACTGTTATAATTTTGTTTTTATTCGTGTTGTTTTTAGCGTATATAAACCACAAGATATAGATCTTGATGCGTTTGCTTGTAATTTAGTGATACCTATTCTCAATAATCAATCAATCATGTGTTCTATATATTTATTTAATGAATTGATATTATTTTAATCTTTAGTGATTTATTCCAATTTGGAAATGGACATTTGCCATTTAATTTTGTTTGCGACAACGCCGAAACCATTTACTTCTGTACCACCTTTTCATCAAAATAAATCGTAATTTATTTATCTTATTTCTTTTCTAAATATCTTCCTCATTAAATATTACAAGTATCTATCATACCACACTTATTAGGCTGCCCGAGATTTACCGATTTTTTCCCCTTGTAGTCTTTGAAAGGCAACCGAACGATGTGAATAAACGGACCCAGTTGAACCGCGATCCGAGCGCTGTGATTGGTCGCAGCGATTGGCTCGTGGCTCCTGATTGGTCGCCTCAGATATGCCTCGCTTGCTGATTGGTGGATCGAGTTTAAATCTCCCGCTTGCGATCCCCGACCTCCTCACAACAACTCGGAGGACAGCGCGGCGTGACGAGAGGCGACGGCGTTTCGACTTTCTTTCGGAAAACCCGGGCCCCGAAGTGTGTGTGCGATGTTTCCTAAGGCCAAGATAAAGAGGTTCAACGAGGAAGTAGGTGAGTCGCTCATTTAAGATCCTGTTAGGGCGGAAGAAACTAGAGAAATGGAAGGGAAATGACCGGAACTCGAGCCTGGATTTTAAACCTCGGCTTCTCTATCTCTATCTCTCTCTCTTCTCTCTTTTAATTTTTTTTTTTCTCGGGCCCATGGCTTTACTTTGCGTGGATTGTTCCTCGTGGTTTATGAGACGTGCGCTTTTATAAACGTGTATTCATCGGATTAAACCGTAAATAAGTTAATACATTCTTAGAAAGAGCCTTTTAATTTTTTTTTATAGTCGAAATATCAGATTGAATTACTTGAATAAGGTCGCGTTTAAAGACTGCATATTCTTGTTAAAACTAGATAAAAATGATTTGAGAATTTAAATCCGAATCAGTAGTTAGTACATTCCATCCATCGTGAAAAGAGAACTGTTATGATTTATATGATTTTTATTATTATATGATTTATTTTTATTATTATATGATTTATTTTTATTATTTATATGATTTATTTTATTATAGGTTTTCTCGGGTGAAATGTCTGTGTTGTGCTTCTGTTGATGCCGTGAAAGCTTGCAAACCTTTTTTTTTCAAGGCAATTGGATTCCTGTGCCCTTTAATTATTATGGCACGTTGAGTAACTTCTAACTCATTCTTTTTCCGTTTTTTTCCCCTCCTTTGAAATGTGCCAAGCTAAAGTGCAACTGCATATCGTCAGATTGCATCCAAAACGCATTTTCTAACAAGGAATAATTTTCCATTAGCCTTTGCTAAGTGAGTGCTGAATACTGGATAAATAAATAGCTCAAACCTGATAGGGTTAAATTGTGACAACAGTGAGTAATCTGATATAATTTAGTTGTTCTTTTTTTCAATATTTTCATGAGTTTTGAGTTTATATCAATAGATCTATATCTTTTAGGTTTTTGAATTTCATTGTCATATTTTCGAGAACCAGTCCTGTTTTGCTCTCTTCTGTTTAAGATCTTTTCTGTCACATATGTGTCTGAGAGAATGTAATAGTTAATTGTAGTAATTATAGCCTCATCAAATAATATGCTAGGTACAGTATAACACAAATATTTAGCTTATCTTGGAATTAAGATGAACAATTCAAGTACAAAAGACTGAAAATGCTACAAAGTTTGTCAGTCTGTTGGAAAGAAGGGTAACATAAGGAAGGAAAATAATATATGCAAATGATAGGGCGGAGTAATCTAAGAAACTTATCCTCTATGAACATCTGTCATAATAAAAAAAAATAAATAAATAAATAAATAACAGGGTCAATCGATAGACGAGTGTCAGAGAGCCCGAAAAGAAAAATGACAAAATGAAGATCCTATTGGAAATCTAGTAATGGCCCTTGTCTCTCCTTGTCTTGCTCTCTAGGGTATTTCCTCAAGTTTTAATGCTTCTGTGTTTTAAATGCTGGAATAGTGTGTAAGTCATACTTTCTAATGTCAGTTTATTATAAGCATGTATGATTTAAAGGCACGTCAGCCCCACGAGAGCAATGTGAAAATGAGTTTAATTTCATGATTGAGTTGTTTGTTTGTTTATTATTAGACATTCAGTATGAAGAGAAGTGAATAGTCTATGATTTAAGTGAACTTTTCATCTTTTTAAAATATTGGTTTACATACTTAAAGGTTTAAGTAGCCAAATAGTGTATAGCCCCCCCCCCCCAAACAAAAGAAAAAAAATATATTGCTTAAATAAATGGATAGATAAAACAAATATAAAGTTTTTCACTTTCTCTTACTAATATGACTGTCACTATATTATTTTAGGTTGTGCTCCTCCTCCAACAAAATACAACCCAAAAATTGACAAGAACACGGGTGCAGCTGTGACCCTAACCAGATCCGAGAGGTGGAAGAATAGCAAAGAGGTAAGTGTGACCATTAACATTCAGCACCTGGCTGGGTTCCCCCTAGTGGTAGGTGCCAGAGTTGTGGGGGAGTGTTGTCTTCCTCCAAGGTCATCAACTTCAAAAGATCCAGTTTAGCTCAACACCGGTGCTTTAAAATGGAGTGTTGGAATTTCAGGCGGACAAAAGTACGTGGCAAGCAAGCATACTTTAGTTAATTTTGATTATAGGTTTGCATGCAGTTCTATTAGCTGAAGGTTTCTATGGATCTTCAGTGGGCTTGAAATAAGAATGACAAAATCAGATCAGTAGTTGCACTTGTCACTGTCCATTTTTTATTTCCAGGAAATGCAACCATATGGCACAAATATTTTGTAATAGAAACACTGGTCAGATTAGATATAGATGCTAAAGTAATGAGTTTCATGCACTAAAAGGTTGAGTTATATCCAAAATGAATTCTCTTCTAATGTCATATGTTGTATTGGCATCTATACAGATATGAAATGGCACACATGCATATATGTATATATATTCACTTGCATACATTTTGTGTTTGTGTATAAACATATAAATGATTTCTGTGTCAATGCAAAGGGGTAAGAACTGTCTCTGGTCTGTTCTGTTTTTTTTAGCAGAAATTTATTATAACAGATTCTAATGATCCATTCTCCTTCAACTTTGATATGTAGGATTTTGTCTGGGACATGAACTGCATAAGAATATACAAATCTGTAAAAATAAAATCTAGGTATAAATTCATTAGTCCCATTACTTTCATGCTGCCAGTCTGCCTTACTGATATTTATTAGAAACTATTCTTCTTCACGTAAGTACTGATTTGTGTGACTTTGCTGTTGCAGGTCACACCAGGGCCAGGAGCTTATTGCACTCAGAGTAACTCCCCCAACCAGAAGAGGTCTACGTCGTCATCCCGTCTCAATTCGTCAACATGTTCCAGCAGTTCATCAGTGTCAGGAGGCGGGGTGTTTCTCAGTGTATGATAATGATGTGTTTTGAATTGTATTTGTGAATTATTAATCTTGTTATTTAGTTTTGTTGTAATGTTTACATTTAATGTGTGCTATCTTTTACCAGCACCAAGTATGGGGATATTATAGAGTAAATGATAATGTTAACACTTCACCACCCTCCTTTGTCAAGTGTTTATATGGAACATGATCTTGTGTTGGTGTCTAAATATTTGAATGTAGTTGTGTATTTTTTTCACTTTACCTTGACTTTTTTACAGCCACCAAAACACACACGACTTTCCCGCTCTGCTTCTGCAAAGTCTGTACACGGGCGATTAGGGGACAGAGATGCCCGAGGGGACGAGCTACAAGATCAAATTCGAGAGCTTACGCAGGAAAGAGATAGAATGAAGGTTCTTATATCCCAACTAGAAGATCAGTAAGTTTTACTTCTTTCTCTATGCATAGCCAACATAATCATATTTTCTCTGTATGGAATGTTGTTATTATTATTATTTTTTTTTTTGCCATGTAGTATGTTTTGATAACCTTTAACCATTAGCAAAAACAGTTTAGTTTCAGTATATTATTTTCAGGCTTACAAGAAAATATTCAAGGCTAATTATTTCCTCTTATTACAGGCTGGTGACATTAAATAACAGAATTACTGCAAGTGAAATAAAGGAAGCTGAACTTGAAAAACTAAAAGGGTATGTATTCCACTCTTAATATTTATATGTGTAGTTTTTAATAAGATCAATAATTAGGTGTATCTGAAGATGTTTGAAGTCAGTTTCTAAAATATTTAAATTTTTAATAATCTTCATTAAAAAATTGTTCCTAATGCTATTGTTAAAGCTATTTTAAATCACAAGTGATATTGACTAGTTTTTGCTTTATACATTCAGCTACCTGATGATTGTAAGTATCTTGGCATTATGAGTGTTATCAGTTGCAAGAATAGTTCTTGTGTGTATAGGTTTGTATATGTGCATACAAGATATGAATCGGCCACTAAATGCTCATTACTGTAATTAAAAGATATCTATGGTTCTTGAAACCAGTACTGATTGATTTTTTCCTCCAGCTTATTGTTATGCTTTCTAATTCTCAGAGAGAAAGGTGAATTGGAGTTGAAAATTGCAAAACTTCATGAAAGTGAGGAGGAGGTCCTGCAGCTAAAACAACAAAATGAGGAACTGAAAGTACTTTTAGGTAATTTATATTACTTTTTGTATGTGTATGTGTATGTATATATTATGATATTGCAGTTTGTATGAATTTAGATATTACTTTGAATATATGTCTTATACATTTTTTTTCATGGAACAGAAAGCAGTAGTGGAGATAAAGAAGTTGTGGAATTAAATGATCAGATTCAGTCAGTCAGGAAAGAATTGACTGAATCTCAGCATATGATTTCACGTTTGACAGATGAACGGTCAGGTCTCCAACTGCAATTGAAGCAGCTAGAGGTAAGCTTGCATTAATATGTAAATGAATACTTTAGAGTGCTGTTGAGCACAAATGGACAACATAGTCTTAATATTTTCAATTAGCTGAAATGTACTCTGAGATTCCTTTTCTATTTTTTTAGTTAACATGTACTGCTTTACTTAGTGTAGTTTAACTGTTGACTGTATTTCAATAGGAGTCTGCAGAGCAGAAATCTCTCACTGAAGATGAAGTTCAAAACCTCAAGGAGCAGATAGACCACCTGACTCTTTTGAGGGATAACCTTGAAGCATCTGTCATGGTAAAGGATGACTTAATAGCAGAACTACAACTGCAGTTAGATGAAGTGGTGGTTGAGGGGCAGAGTTTCCATGACCAGATGGAGCTTTATAAGGCCAAGGCAGAGCAACTGGAAGAAGAGGTAATAGCAAACATTAGGCATATAGACATGTATAGAGTTGAGAATTTCAATTGTAATATAAATGAAGCAGATTTACAGCCTATGTATTAATATATGCATATTGTTTAATAGATCCAAAACAGCTTTGTCGACCGTGATGATGCGGAAAATCGGGTACGCAACATTGTAGCCAAATATGAAGCACTGATTAAGGATCAGGTGGAAGAGAGAGAGATGAACAAAGAAATACTTGCCAAGAAAGATATTGAAATTGAACTTTTGAATGGCAGCCTTGCTAATCTTAATGTGAAGGTAATTATTGTATTTTACTTGTTGTGCTTCCCTTTAATTATTTTGACCTATTTATTTTTCTCTTCTTTGTACCACATTTTCTCTGCTTGAATCCATTGCTAATAGGAATAAGCACTTCATGCTTTTGTTTTAGTAAATGGGGCATGCAATGCCAACATTTTCTATCTTTCTTTCTTCTTTTTCTTCTTCCTTTTTTTCCATATGTATAGCTCTACAAGTCCTTAGTCTCTAAGGAGCTGGGTACTTTGCCTAGCTTACCTGACCTGTGTGACACATTCCTTCAGTTACCATTGTTATTTTAGCATCATTGGTATTCTTGTTACTTGTAATACTGCAAATATTATTAATAGTATTGTTAATACCTAATTATTATTGATGTTATGTTAAGAATATTAACAAAAATGATAAAATAGATTAGGTTTGGTAGCTTGACAGATGACTCCTTGGTGACTAACCACTCAGCCATCTGTGTAAGAAAAAAGTCATTGTGAGCAGTGCAGATATTTATACAATTCCTGAGTTAGTATGTCAACACTTTCCTTTCTATATTACATGCATTTCCTTTTTAGGTTACAGAATATGAAAACACTATTTCTTCCTTGCAAGAAGAAATTGGTGAAAGGAAGAGCAAGATTTCCTGCCTTGAAACCACTGTCTCTGACCTAAATATGATGACGAAGGAGAAGGAATTCATGGAATCTATGTTAGAAGAGGAACTTAATCAAAGAGCACAAGAGGTAAGCCAGTAATTAATGTTTAACTCTTTCCTTTTCTGAAAAGAAGATAGCAAAATAGCTCCTTGTAATTATTTAAATAATGTAATTCCATCCCACTTAACCTTTTTTTTACAATTATCAGTTTACACGTGTTTTTATGTCTGCTAGTGTTTTTGCCGTGTATGAGCAAATCTTTATACACACACACACACACACACACACACACACACACACACACACACACACACACACATCACACACACACACACATCATACACACACACACACACACACACACACACACACACACACACACACACACACACACACACACACACACACACACACACACACACATTCATACACACACACACATTCATACACACACACACATTCATACACACACACACATTCATACACACACACACATTCATACACACACACACATTCATACACACACACACACACATTCATACACACACACACACACATTCATACACACACACACACATTCATACACACACACACACATTCATACACACACACACATTCATACATGCATGCATACATTCATACATGCATGCATACATTCATGCATGCATGCATACATTCATACATGCATGCATACATTCATGCATGCATGCATACATTCATTCATGCATGCATGCATACATTCATTCATGCATGCATGCATACATTCATTCATGCATGCATACATTCATTCATGCATGCATGCATACATTCATTCATGTATACATGCATGCATTCATTCATACTTACTTACTTGCATGCATACATTCATTCATGCATGCAGGCATACAGTACATTCATTCATACATATATACATACATGCAAACATTCATTCATATATACATGCAAACATTTATACATACATGCATGCAAACATTCATACATACATGCATGCAAACATTCATTCATACATGCATGCAAACATTCATTCATTCATACATGCATGCAAACATTCATTCATTCATACATGCATGCAAACATTCATTCATTCATACATGCATGCAAACATTCATTCATTCATACATGCATGCAAACATTCATTCATTCATACATGCATGCAAACATTCATTCATTCATACATGCATGCAAACATTCATTCATTCATACATGCATGCAAACATTCATTCATTCATACATGCATGCATATATTCATTCATACTTACTTGCATGCATGCATTCATTCATGCATGCAGGCATACATTACATTCATTCATTCATGCATGCAGGCATACATTACATTCATTCATGCATGCAGGCATACATTACATTCATTCATTCATGCATGCAGGCATACATTACATTCATTCATATATACATGTGTGCAAACATTCATTCATACGTACATGCATGCAAACATTCATTCATACGTACATGCATGCAAACATTCATTCATACATGCATACATACATTCATTCATACATGCATACATTCATTCATGCATGCATACATTCATTCATGCATGCATACATTCATTCATTCATGCATACATACATTCATTCATTCAGGCATACATACATTCATTCATGCATACATATATGCACACGCACACGCACACACACCCTACCTTAAAATATATATATAATCTTAAATATACATCACCATAATTCCAGGTAAACAAACTAGAACAAAGTATTCGAGAAGTTGAAACAAAACTTGGTGAAGTTAACAAAGAGAAGGAGAGTGTGGTAGCTACTCTGGAGACAGAAAGGAAACAAACAGCAGAGCTAAATGAGAGGATTCAGCACCTTGAAGTGCAGATAAAGGAAAAAGAGGTGGTGCAGCAGTTCCTAGAAAAAGAAATTGCATCACGAGAGGCAGAGGTAGATAAGTTTTTTTGTTTTTTTTTTTGTGCGTTTGCATGCACGTACGCTTTACAGGTGTTATTATTTGATAGATATTCAATACTAAACTCATTCTTGTTTCTGAAACCAGTTTTATAGATTTTTTTTTAAGTAGTAGGAAATGAATGCCTAAAGTTTGTGGAATATAATTAGTAGGCAGTTTCAGTCTAGTTTATTTTTTTGCCATAATAATAACTGAATGAAACAGGTTTCAGAGTCATCTGCAAAAATTAAAACTTTGGAAGAGGATCTTGAAACTGCTCGTCAAGTAGCTCTTGATCTCCAGCAAGATGCAGAAGTTCAACTCAATCAAGTACTTACACTGAAGGCAACTATCAGTGCAAAGGATTATGATATTGAGGCCAAAGAGGAGCTTATTACAACACTGAAGAATGAGGTAAAATTTGAATGGTACTACTTTTATCTGGCAGATGAGGTATTTCAAGAGGATCAGTTTTGTCCTTTTGGATCTGTTCTCTATTTATGTATCCTGACTGTAGAAAGATTCTTTTTTAAACTCTAGAAGCAAAATGGCTTTATTCAATACAAGGCATGATTGTATTCTTGAGAATTATAATAGTTTGTTATTAATTTCAGGTGAGTCAGAAGCTCAACGAAACCAGCATTTTACAAGGACAAGTAGAGCAACAAAGTAGTGTAACCACTAAGATTGAGGAGCAGTTAAATACCAAGGAAACACAGGTTTGTAGTTTTGATAGCAGTAGTAGTAGCAATAGCAGCATAGTTTTATATTCTGTCTCTGAAGCCCCATAAATAGTGAAATAGTTATTATAAGTGTTTAAAATCTAAAATCTTTTCATCTTTCAAACAGATTCTGAAGTTAGATGAAGAGTTGACTTCTGTGAAAGCTGCTCTTCAGTCACGTGAAGAATCCTTAGCAAACTTGGAAAGTAAAGCAACTCAACTGGAAGATAATAATCATCAATTAGAAGAGAAGGTGGTGGAACTAATGGCTGAGATTAGTGACAGGGAGGCTGAACATATAGCAAGGTATGCTGAAGGAGATATTTTGTTTGGTCCAGTGATTCATTGTTTTTTATTAGAAATTTTGTTTCAAATAATACAAGTCCTGTTTAGACACCAGTATAGCTTTCTGTTTTTGTAATATGGCCTGTTCTACTTTTTTGCAAAAATAATAAACTAATAAAAATACCCTGTTGATCTCTTAAATTTCACAACTTGTTTCCCCTTTTATGTTCTTTATGAATAATTTGATTAAATCCACAGTTAGGAAGTATATAGATTCAGGTTTAGGGAAAATAAAGAAAAGTTAATTGAGATGGGGCAACAATTTGCTTAACAGCAGCAAGTATTGGAAATTACTAATAGTTGCAAGTCATGGAAAGTTTTCTTTACCAATTTGTTTGTATTTTATCCCATTGTTTGTGTGTTAAATAAACTAAATCAAAAACACTTTACAGGGTGAATCGGATACAAAATGACCTTGATGATTTGGGCATAAAATATTCAGAATCTTTGTTGGAACATGAGGCTACACGCAGAGCCCTTACCCAAACTTCAGAAGAGCTGGAAAGGGAGAATCTTCTTCGTATGGCTTCGGAGAGAGACATCCAGACCTTAAAAGAAGAACTTGGCCATTATAAAGAAGAACATAAAACTATGGAACTCAACTTGAAGGATCTGGTGCAAAAGTATACCAACTTGGAAGATGCTCTTGGTGAGTTCAGTTATCAGGCTTACCTTTGGATACAATATTTTGATATTGCTAAACATTCCTTTTTATAGTCAGGCAAGGAATTTTCAAAGAAAAGACATTGTTTCTTTGAAAGTCGTAAATTCAAACTGAAAAAATATCTGTAATATGAAGACCTTGTCAGGTGAATTAATACTAGAGATTAAGTTTAGATATTCTAAGCAAGTCTTCAGAGCTTCTTGGCAGAGTTAAAGTATCTGATACAAGGTTTATCTTAATTATGTTGAGAGAGAATTTTTGCAAGTGCAAGATCTTCAAAAAATATGAAGTGCATGTTTTTTATTTTTACCTTTGCTATTTACTTTTCTCCCTCTTTCTTTTTCTTATTGTTGCTTAATTTAACCACACTTTACAGCCTGTGAGGAAGCTGAAAATAGAGATCTGGAGGACCGGTTAGAACGAGAGGTCAAAAATGCCCAAGAGGCTGCAGCAACAGCTGAGAAGGAAATTTCCAGCCTTCAGACTTCAAATGAAGGATTTTGCACACAGATTACTCAACTAAAGGTGAGATATTGAAACCTTTGCTTACAAGTTCTAGAATAAATGAAAAAAAAAAAAAAAAAAATACATTTCCTTTTTTTTTTTTTTTATATATATATCCTTCCTCACATTTTTTAGATTGACATGAGGAAGAAATCTCAAGCAGTAGTGGAGATGCAACAGTGCATTGAAGCTTTAAGGGAGGAAAAGCAGCACCTGACAATTCTTCGTGACAATCTGGAAACTACAGTAGAAGCCAAGGAAGACTGCATTGCTCAGTTACATCTTCAAGTGTCAACTCTTGAGAGAGAAATGGAAGAGGAGCGTGTAACTTTGAGGTCAAGAATAGCTGACCTAGAGAACCACCTGAAGGAGACTGAAGACCACCTCAATAATTATAAAACAAAGGTAAGTTCATGCTTAATCTGTGGATTTATTTTATAATCAATTTATATTCTTGTCTTTTTTTCTCTTTTGAGAAATGGCAGTCATACACACAAAACACCTGGAAACACAGCATAGCAGCTTTACTGTATGCATACAGTAATTTCAAGTGCAGTTGTTCCTAGCCATTGTAATTTAGGAGTGTGGCTGTTATCAAAATATTTAAATTAACGAGTTTGTAGTTACATATACTTGTTTTTATATAGGTAATAGACTTGGAAGATCAAGTATCTTACCTTGAGGATGAGAAGATGAAACTGACCAAGTCCTATGAGAAACAGCTAGAAGAAAAATCCTCTTCAGTAACCCAGGCTGCTACAGAATTAGTGGAATTAAAGAAAACTTATGAAGGGTATGAAGACCAACTGAAGAATCTTCAGGTACGAGTGCTAACATTATATAGTCTCTGATTTTTTACATTTGTGGCATTTATTGCAGTTTATTATTTTGTTCTTGCAAACAGTCATTTCTTATACTTATTTATTTTTCATTATTAATAGACTTCACTTGTGGATAAGACCAATGAGGCAGATGAACTGAAAGAGAAGTATTTTGTGGCAAGTCGAACATTAGAATCCCACCAGGAAGAAATGAAGGCTTTAGAAACAAGTTTGGGCAGATCCAAGCAGGAAGTTGAAGGCATGAATAAAACCTTGTCCTCAAAGGACACTATGTTAGATGACCTTAACACTACCTTGGGCAGCAAACGTGAAGAAATTCAGTCGCTATATAAGGTTGGTTTGTATGAATAATATGGTAGTACTGTGTAGTATATAAGAAAATGACAGCTTTATGATTAAGAAGTGAAAATGGGTAGAGTAATTGATTAAAGTTTAAAAACTGTGTTTTAATAGAAATTAATGCAGATTTCCATTTTTGTAACAGAGCCTTGAGGAGAAACAGTCAGCACTCGTGAAATGTGAGACTCGTATTCAACAACTGGAAGAGAATGAGGAAAAACTTGCTCAAGACAAAGAAGAGGCTGCTCTTACTATATCAACCCTTAAGGAGTCCCTTGATAACACCAAAAAACGTTTATCCAGGTACTGATCCTTCAAGTGTTTCGAGATTAGAATGTTCTAATGTAAAAACTAGCATATGATAGTAGTAGTGTCACACATATCATTGAAACTAGGGAATTGGAATAAATAATTTTGCTTTACAGATTGGAGATTGTACACAAAGAAGAGAAGGAAGCTGAAGTGTCAAGGGTAACTTCTACTTTAGAAGGTGATTTAAAAGAACTGAGAGATACTAATGCAGAACTTCTTGAAGAGTTGAATTCCTGGAAGAGCAAGTTCCAACATCTTGAAAAGATGATTGAACCATTCAGAGTAAGTATGTTTGAAGAAAAAAAAAAAAAAATACATTTCCTTTTTTTTTTTTTTTATATATATCCTTCCTCACATTTTTTAGATTGACATGAGGAAGAAATCTCAAGCAGTAGTGGAGATGCAACAGTGCATTGAAGCTTTAAGGGAGGAAAAGCAGCACCTGACAATTCTTCGTGACAATCTGGAAACTACAGTAGAAGCCAAGGAAGACTGCATTGCTCAGTTACATCTTCAAGTGTCAACTCTTGAGAGAGAAATGGAAGAGGAGCGTGTAACTTTGAGGTCAAGAATAGCTGACCTAGAGAACCACCTGAAGGAGACTGAAGACCACCTCAATAATTATAAAACAAAGGTAAGTTCATGCTTAATCTGTGGATTTATTTTATAATCAATTTATATTCTTGTCTTTTTTTCTCTTTTGAGAAATGGCAGTCATACACACAAAACACCTGGAAACAAAGCATAGCAGCTTTACTGTATGCATACAGTAATTTCAAGTGCAGTTGTTCCTAGCCATTGTAAATTAGGAGTGTGGCTGTTATCAAAATATTAAAATTAACAAGTTTGTAGTTACATATACTTGTTTTTATATAGGTAATAGACTTGGAAGATCAAGTATCTTACCTTGAGGATGAGAAGATGAAACTGACCAAGTCCTATGAGAAACAGCTAGAAGAAAAATCCTCTTCAGTAACCCAGGCTGCTACAGAATTAGTGGAATTAAAGAAAACTTATGAAGGGTATGAAGACCAACTGAAGAATCTTCAGGTACGAGTGCTAACATTATATAGTCTCTGATTTTTTACATTTGTGGCATTTATTGCAGTTTATTATTTTGTTCTTGCAAACAGTCATTTCTTATACTTATTTATTTTTCATTATTAATAGACTTCACTTGTGGATAAGACCAATGAGGCAGATGAACTGAAAGAGAAGTATTTTGCGGCAAGTCGAACATTAGAATCCCACCAGGAAGAAATGAAGGCTTTAGAAACAAGTTTGGGCAGATCCAAGCAGGAAGTTGAAGGCATGAATAAAACCTTGTCCTCAAAGGACACTATGTTAGACGACCTTAACACTACCTTGGGCAGCAAACGTGAAGAAATTCAGTCGCTATATAAGGTTGGTTTGTATGAATAATATGGTAGTACTGTGTAGTATTTAAGTAAAATGGGAAGTGAATGAAATGAATTAACAAATTTTAGTTGATTGATTGTGAACCTTTATTCTTGCCTTCATATAACGTTCAACATATAGTTTATTAATAATGTAACACTATTATAAGATATCAGTTTATTAATATCAAAACCAAGATGGAGTTATTCAAGCCAACCTATTAATCCTTACCTTTTATTTTACCTTTAGGAAGTGTTCAAGCTACGTCAAGAAACAGAACGTCAGCGAAAGACTGTCAAGAGATTAGAAGAAAAGATGTTACGATTGAGTGGATCTACAAGTCGCCTCAATGATACATCTAGGATGTTGGGAGATAAGGAAAACTCATTTTATGCCGGGGCAGGAGCTCCAGCTATGTCATCCACGCCACTTAAACCTAGTAATAAACCTCAACGCCTTTGAGCAGAGACAGCTATTTGAATGATGCTTTTTAGCTGTTATTTAGTTCTTGCCATATTCAGAATCAAAGGCTATCCAGCTGTCTTGACTCATCACATCACATATGTGTCTTCATTATCTGTCATGTTTATGTTCTACAACATAAAATTTATCTTTTATGTTATTGTAATGCACATGCAGCAAACCGTTTTAATCAAATATTACATTTTGTTGAATAGCCTTAAGGTGTTTTAGTTGTTTTTATTTAGATAAAATGAACCAGTTGTGCAAATAACATAATATGCCATTTGTAAATAGTCGTCACACTACACATCATAACCATTGTCAGTGAGTCCGGTGTTCATGTTTTGCATCTCAGTGATTTTATTCTTCTCCTTCATGGAAGCTTTTAAACCTTTGAGTTTGAATTTTGGGCAATGGTCCCAATGTACCAAAGTACAATTTTTAAATAAAAGTCAAAGTACCTTTTGATTTTTCTTATTTTAAAATGCCTAGGCTTCATTGATACTAAGGATGGATATTGGAAAAGTGTTGCAATTCATTCTGAAGATTTATTTTAAAATAATACTGCAAAAGTTAGATAATTTTTCAGTCTCCATAATAATGAAAAGTCAGAAAAATAGACTGTCATTGCCACTTCGTATGTAAAGAACAAAACAGTTGAATGAAAATTTAGCTGAAATGGTATTGCAGTAATTACTGTAAGAACTAGAAAGGGAATGTTTTTCAATATGCATATATATAATATTGGAAATTAACTGGTCCTACTCCCAAGCCTCCATTCATTGAATATATAATACAAGGAAATTTATCAAAGGAGGTGGAGACTTGCCCAATGTATAGGATCACCCCCGCCTTGGACCTCAGCCCTCGCCTCGACTAATTTTCTTCTCCTTTCCTTTTCCTTCTCTTCTTCTTCCCTTCTTCTGACCACTTATCCTCTTTGTTACCTCAGATTTACCCTGGAAATCCACAAACATCACCAATGTTGGGGACCACCCCTGCCCTCTCTTTTCTTCTCCCCTTTCCCTTTTCCTACTTGTTCATCTCCTTCTTCTGTCCACTTATCCTAACACATTTTTCACTACAATACTTTATCAAAATGCTATATATATACTTGAGGGCTTCGCCTCCAAGCCCCACCCCATCGCAGTATTCTGAATGACTTTAGATGTTGACATGGCAAACATTTTTCAGTAAATAAATGGTCTCAATAAATTTTATTTGATTCCCTAGTTATTTTATTTTACACTCTAATTCTACGTAAATTCATTACTAAAGTAGTTAAATTGTTTCAAAACTCTTAATGAAGGTAATATTAGTTAAAGCAAATGTTTTAAAACAACCCATCACTTCCCAGTCTTCTGACTAGGGATTTCATACATTAAAAAAAAAAAAAAAAAAAAAAAAAAAAATGACACATACCCTGACTTCAGACATGGTTCAAATCATGAAAATGTGAATTTGTGATATTCAAATAATAATTGTATGGATATGCTAGAAATGTCGTATTGAGTCCCTAAATGGATATAATAATATAAATTGCAGGAACAAATTACATGCACATATATTAAAAATTAAGAATGAAGCAACTTGCATTGAGCATAAGTTCTTCAACGAAATCCCCTGGGCTGGGTTAGTTTAGGTCAGGCTTGGTTAGGTCAAGTCGTTGTTTTATATTAATGCAATATATTTCTTTAGTTTTATTGTGTTTTAGAAGTTTTTACCCATCACTATTGGCAAAAATTAGTAGCTTCAAGATCCCAGAACTGTAAAGTAAAAGTAGGACATTACCTGTTAGGGTGCCTTCTGCAACCTGAGCCTGGTTTTGAGTTTCCTCAAAATTTGAGAAGAATCACTGGGAGCAAACTTTCAGACAAGCCCAAGGCACAAAGTCCAGTGTGTACTTGGCCAGACTGAATCCACTTCCACCATACATCTGGGATGTGCGTGATTCGGACATCACAGACCTCTAGCATTTTTTTTTTTTTTTTGGACTGCCGCTACATTCTTCAATATAAATCCCTTGCATGAAGGATGCCGCTGGTTGAAGGAAATGGTTGGATGTCACTGTCATTCTTCCACTCTCACAGTAGGATTCTAGTGGAGAAAGCCTCTGTTCACCGGTATCTATGATCTTGCCGACTGAAGAGGCTTTGCTAATCTCACATACACAACACAACACATACACACAAACACACACGTGTGTATGGGTGTGTGTGTAATATATATACATATACATATACATATATATATATATATATATATATATATATATATATATATATATATATATATATATATATATATATATATATATATATATATATATATATATATATATACACACACAAAATATAGGTAGAAAACCTTAACTTTACTGTAATATGAGATAAGCCAAGGGTAACGTTATCAGTAAGAAAGTATTTAGAAACGGGATTTCCTCGCAAAATGGGCAAACATTCAAAAACAAAATAGTTTTACTTAATAATATTAATTTCATGTTACTTTTTACATGACGGAAGACATAATTGGGAACTCTAGGAAACCTATAACATCATGAAAATATTAAATAAATGATGTTCAATGTGACAGATGTAGAAAAAAAAAACATGAATGGGAATGAATATATCCACAGCGCAAGAACTTGTTCGACGGGTTTTGATGACATCGTCGAAATGCGTCAAATATAGCTCTTGCCTTGTGAACATATTCATTCCTATCGAGGTCTTCTTCTGCATGAAAATATATGATATCGATGCATGAGTTGCAAAAGGAGCATATGCAATTGAAAGACTTAAAGAGTTTCTGTATAGGAGTTGGGGAATTTTATGAAACAAAGGTTTTCTTATGAGGGGGCGGGGAGAGAGAGAGAGAGAGACTGGTGTCTGAAAAGTAGAGGCAAAGGAGATGGAGGTGAGAAGAAGTAGGAAGAGAAGAGGTCTGCTGCGGGTAGTGCGGGGAGGGAGAGGGGAAGGTATCTGGTTTTAATTGGCAAAATAATTTGACGGGAAGGTAGGAAGCAGAAGTGGGGGAGTAAGATGTAGGAGGGATAGGCATAGAAAGGGGGTGTAGGAACATCTTGGGAGAGAGGGGGAGGGTCAGAGCGAACGACATTACTGCTTCCTGTCCGGCTTTACGGAGAGTGAGACCAAGTCTGAATCTGAGAGTTGCCACCTCAGACTCAAATTTGTAGGTGGGACAGCCCCTATAAAATACATTATGGGGGCCGCCACAATTGGCACATGTGCGTGACTGTGCAGAGCAGTTTGATCGAGTATGACCAGGTTGGGCACATCTGGCTGTGGGACGACAATGTTTGGCAGGATGTCCCAAACGCCAACAATTTTGGCACTGGAGGAAGTTGATATGGTCGGACAGGGAAGGATTCTCCACCAAGGTAATCATTAGAGGGAAGGTCATGTCTACGGGAAGTAATTTTGGCATTGTTAGTGGGGTTCTTACCTCTGGGAGGAATTGAGTAACACTACTGATATCGCATCACATATCGTGAGACAGGCGAGGAAGTCTTCTCCACAATCTGACCAATTTTTGTTACAGATAGGGCAGTTTGCTGGGGAGATAGAGGCAGTTCCAGTGCAACTATTGATGGTTGGATGAAGTTCTGAAGGAATGTGGTTACCTGAGAGATCGGTTAGAGTTGATAATGCTATAGCTTGGTTTTCAGATGTTACTGTGACGAGACGGGGAAAGAGACGTTGCCTGTTTGTTTTTTTTGAAACACTGCTGGAAGAGAAGAGTGTTGTCAGAGTAGGGAGCTGTTGGAGGGATCACGAAAAATCGGTCCTAGTTGGCTGGGCTAAATAACGTATTTAAGATTATTGTAGAGATGGGGGTAGTAGAAGCACGGGTGTATGTGGAAGAGGGAGTAGCGTTGAGGGAGGTAGTATTATGGAGAGGTGGACAATAAGACTGTAAAGTAGTAATAAGGGAGGATGAGGTAGCTGATGAAAAAGGTTGTGGGGTAGAGGTGATGAAGTTGAGCATGTTGGGAGAGTATGAATGTCTCCTGGAGATTGAGTGTTGCCTTGGGTGGATAATGTACTAGTAGGCAGCATTGAGGAGGGAGTAATAGTTGCAGTGTTCAGAGCCGTGGTCAAAGGAGAACCTGGGGTCGAGGAATCGGGAGAGTTTGAATTGGTGGGGCTATTTGATGAAGGGGCAAGCCTCATTGCCCCTAACAAGG